AACCATTAAATAAACAATCACTGGGTTATAAATAGAATAATCCACACAGGTAAAACCCATTTTGTACCCATGGTTGTTTGTTGGAAAACTCCATGCCCATAATTCAGAATAATGACCTTCAATGGCTAAGGATGTGCTATTTTGTCCTGCCGGAATACTATTCTACTGTGTTTCTCAAACTCTAATATGCAACAGAACCACGTTGGTGGTTGGAGGGCTTGTTAGAAACACGTGTTGCTGCCCACCTCCTTGAGTTTCTGATTCAGTAGGTCTGGGGTGGATTGTGAATATGCATTCCTAACCAGTTCCCAGGTGATCTGATGCTGATGATGGTCCATCCAGGGACCACATATTGGGAACCACTGTCGTACTTAAGTGTTATGGATAAAGATTTTGGAGAAAGAATAGTATAGTCTCATGATCAGTGTGGCAGAAACTTTCATATTGATTTACAAGTCTTCTGCCAAAGAAATCAAAACAATTAGGTAATGAAGGTAATTTCATGGTTGACAATTTAAAATGTTCCAATCAACTTCCCTTTACTAATCTAACCAATTAATACAGCAGTAGTTAGCTAATCAAAATTCCAGTTGTTGGGAAGCACCAAGTTATCTAATCAAATTTGTTTTGTTTTTGTTGGCTGTCCAGTACAGGGATCCAAACCCTTGACCTTGGTGTTATAACACCACACTCTAACCAACTGAGCTAAGCAGCCAGCCTTCACAGCTGAGTTATTCGATTTTAGAGACGAACAAAGGAATCTTGACCACCATAAACCAACAAAAGGAATGGTTTAGCCATACACATTAGTTTATTAGTTTACATTAAAACTAATGTGTATAGCTAAACCATTCCTTTTGTTTGCACAAATTTGTGACAGTATGGTAAAAGCTTTTGGATAATTTTGGAAATGGAGTTCAGATTACAGATGGCAGATTGACCCACATTTGTCTACCTTCACTCTCCATAAAAAGGACAGTAAAGGAATATAAAAGGATAAATCCATGGGGTCAGGGAGGATGGAGGTGGAGTTATCAGCAAAAGAGATATTTCAATATAACTCTGGAAGATGAGATGGATGGAGGAGTGGAAACTGGTTTAACAGAGCAGCGGAAGCTACAGTCAATTGTGGTGGTAAAGGTTGGTAAAAGAATAGCCCAGTTCCGGGCCGGCCCGGTGGCGCACTGGAGAGTGCGTCGCCTGGGAGTGCGGTGGTGCTCCCACCGAGGGTTAGGATCCCATGTGGAGACCGGTTCCCGCTCACTGGCTGAGCGCGGGGCGAGCGCAACACCGAGGGTTGCGATCCCATTACCAGTCAGTAAAAAAGACAAAAAGGAAAAAAAAAAAAAAAGAATAGCCCAGTTCCGGGCCGGCCCGGTGGCGCACTGGAGAGTGCGTCGCCTGGGAGTGCGGCCATGCTCCCACCGAGGGTTAGGATCCCATGTGGAGACCGGTTCCCGCTCACTGGCTGAGCGCGGGGCGAGCGCAACACCGAGGGTTGCGATCCCATTACCAGTCAGTAAAAAAGACAAAAAGGAAAAAAAAAAAAAAAAAAAAAAAGAATAGCCCAGTTCCTGTACAGAGTGGGCTGGGCCTTGGAGACTCCAGAGATCACCACGGGGAAATGCTGACGAGCAGCCCAGGATCCCAGAAGGGAAAGGAAGAGGTGAGCAGCTAAAAGCAGGGGACCAGGTCAACGCTGGCATTTGGAGTTGTTGGATCCTTGGGTCCCCTGTCCCACTCCTTGCAGCCCACAGAATAAACAGGAGAGAGGCTTGTAAACCAGGCACAAAGAAGGACAGGAATAAGGCACCTGCAGGAAAGAAAATAGTGTGAAAGGCTGCATATTAAGTGGTGACTCGTGCATACCCCTACCCCTGAACTGGTTCCATAACATTGGCAGCCAAGTGAACGCCCCCTCAGGCAAGAGATCGTAGGATATTTTTCCAGAGAAACTGAAGAGCCCCAAAGAAAAGACATCCAGTTTCTGACATTTGGGGCATTTTCCCATGAAAAGATAAGCTTTTGCCTGATCACCATACAGCCAGCCCACCAGCAAGCAAGCACATCTCCCCCACCCCCACACAGAGTTTCCGGTGAGGTTTTTATTACCTCATTCTTATGTATAAATGGAGAGTAAAAGGTTTGCAGACAGTTGATGAAAGCCTCTAACATGACAGAACTAAAACAAATATATGGGAAAAAGGAAACCAGAGGAAGCCAAGAAAAGGCAGGAAGCAAAGAAAATCCTATAATCAGTAAATATTCTCAAAAGATAGAAAAAATTATTGCAACTATGACATAATCACAGAATTCCACTTAAAAGATAGCAGAAAACACAAAAACAACTTCTAGAAAGTAAAGTAAGGAAATATCCTCCAGAATAGAACAAAAGAGGAAGAGACGTCTAACAGGAAAGAAAAGAAGAACATTCTAAGATCAATCCAGGAGATCTAATATCTAACTAAGAGGAGTTTCAAAAAGAAATAATGAGTAGACAATAATTGAGGACTTACTATGTGTCTGGCACTGTTCTAAGTGGCTCAGATGTACTAGTGAGGCCATTACTATTATTATCACTATTTTACAGATGAGAGAACTGAAGCACAGCAAGATTAAGTGACTTGCCCAAGGTCATATAGCAGAGTTAGAATCTGAACTCAGACAATTTAGTTCCAGAGCTTTTACGTTCTTAACTACTCTGCTAGGATAGTCCGCCCCCAAAGGTGAGGAAATTATTAAAGAAATATTACAAGAAAATTTTCTGAACTGGACATAAGTCCCCAGACTGAAAGTATCCATTGTGTGCCCAGCATGATGAATAAAATAACACCTGAATGAACAGCATATAATTATGACACTTCAGAATACTAGATATAAAGAGATCATTCTACAGGGTTCTAGAAGGAAAAATTCCAGGTCACAAAGGAATAGGAATCAGGATGGCATTGGAATTCTCAGTAGTAACATCAGAAGCTAGAAGATAAAAGTGCAATTTCTATGAAATTATGAATGAAAAATTCCAATTTAGAATTTTACATTTGGCCAAATTTTCCATCAAAAGTAAAAGTTGAATAAAGACATTTCGAGTATGTAAAGCCTCAAAATTTTATCTTCTGTACCCTTTCTTAAGTTGTTACTGGAAAATTGCTGTGGAAAAAGAAGCAGTAAACCAGGCAAGACGGCACAAGACACAGACATGGGGTTTTCACTCTACAAACTGAGTGTCCCAGGTTGAGCAGCAGGTCCACAGAGCAACTCATCTCCACTGGAACAGGAAGACAGCAGAATTTTGGAGGAATGTTTGCAGGGGTAAGAAGTGGAATTGATTGATCATTTGGAAAATAAATTTGATAGTCATTTGATAGACCAGATATAGAAAAATATCAGGATAGGTGCATAATAACTAGGTAGATTAAAAGTTTTACAAGAAAACCACCGTAGTATACTAGATGGCTCCGTTGTCACTGATATTTATGCAGTCACTTACTATTTAGCCCCTAAACTGTGGAAGAGCTGTGTTGGAAGAAAGGCTGAAGCTGGGTGTAGTGAAAGGGCTCAGTCCTTACCTGAGGCAGCAGGTGGTCAAAGCACAACATCTATGTGGATAAATCAAGATAGCAGTATAAATTATTTAGAAATAGGGATGCAAAAGACAGAAGAGAGAGCTAAAAGTAGAATGTGGTTGCCTCTAGAAAGGAGATGGAGAAGGTAGAGGAGAGAATAATGAATTACCTTAAAATATTATTTTTAAACACCAAATGTGTGTGCTTATATTGTCTTTAAAAAGTAAGAACAAAACTTTGAAATGCATTTGCTATAGTGATAACATGGAACAACCAGACCTTGTCTCATAATGTAAGTTTCAGGAAATAAAGTGATCCATAAAGATTAAAATAGAAGCTTATCAATTCTGGCAGTTTTAGTATTATCTTGAAATAAAATATGATAAGCTTTCCATGCTCTTCTTTACTTCTACAATTCATATGTATAGGCCAGATTCCTTTTAGAACTTCCACCAGTACTTCACTCCTTGGTAGCAGCGATTATAAATTGCACCTTTGATCACTTGCCTTGTTCCCAACCAGGAGAAACTGAATCCTCAAAAAAGTCAGTTTCATCCTGTATTGTTTCCGTAGCAACCATATTAAGCTGGAAGGATAAAGCACCTTTGTAGTAGCTGCTTCTATTGAGTTACAAGGTAAATGTTGATGCCTGCCTGGAAACGTCAGATGACAACAAGTTTATGGAACGGATTCAGGTGTTGTTTGCCGCTCTGGAATCCCAGGCCGCAGAATTGCCATCGAAGAGGCGCTCCTGGGCCATCTTAGTGTCTATTCAACCAAATCTCCTCACTTCATCAAAACCACGCCACTCCCCACTGCGCAGCTCATGAGAGGATGCTTACCTATCTGAAAATCTGCAATCTACCTGGTATCTTTTACACATCAGGACGCGAAAAGTGTTTGTTGTGGATAAGAATGCTAAAAATGCGATTACGCAACAGACCCGGCAATCTCTTGTGTTTCTTTTCCCCTCTGAGCACAGAGTGACTTTGGTCCGTGCTCTTCCTCAACCTTCCAGCGGTCCTCTCAATGTGGGTGTTAAGCGCCTTGTGGGGTGCTGCGCATTTGATTCCGGTTAGCGCGGGACACTTGAGTTCAGCTCTCGTTCGTCCTTCCGTTCGACCCACAATCCCTAGTGTTTACAGGTGTTGCTTTGTCCCCGGTTCCTTGTCTCCCTCCGGTCCCCCCCACCCCCGGCCTCGGGGAAGAAGGAAAACGTAGCTTGAAGTCTGCTCGAAGCACGGACCCTCAGCTCCCACAGGTCGCCGCAGAGCTGCAAACGTGCCGCCGCTCCGCTCAGGTAAACTTCGGAGTGAGTTACCTGCACTTGGAGAAGGGCCTTACCTGAGCGCGCCTCTGCCAATGGCAGCTCACCTGAGGGCTCTCCGCAGCCAATCACGGCGCAGCTCGTCCCTCGGGCTTGTACCCTTTAGTGAAAGAATTCAGCTCCTTGCGAGAAAGTTACCTGTGGCCGCCCAAGTCCGCCACTTTCTGCTCTGTTTCTGCCCATTGCCACGATCCAGGAGGACTCCGCGCCGCCCGGCCGCCTCCGAGCTCGGGCCCCATGTGAGGGGCCCCCCCTTATCCCACCTTTCCGGCTAGGTGAGGGCGCGAGCGGGCGAGCGAGCGACAGTGGTGAGGGGGGACGGAAAAGCAGAATTACCTGTAGCTCTTGTTCTGCCATCTCGGGCGCTCTCACACACCTTCACCTGCACAGACTTGAAAGTCCAGTTTCACCAGAGGCTGAGGCTCCAGGAAAAGGGGAGCGAGTTCATTGGATCAAACATGTCACAAGAGTCGGACAAGTAAGTGGATCACACGCGCCGGCTGCTGCTACTACCACTTTGGGCTGATGGCAACTGGTTTGTTATGGTTTTTTTTTTTTGTTTTTTTTTTTTTTTTTTTTTTGTTTTGTTTTGTTTTTTTAAGTTGCTGTTGTTGGTATTTTTTCTTTCTTTTTTCTTTTTCTTTTTGGTGGATCCAGACTTTTCCGGATTATGTGTCTACCCAGATTAAGGGAAGAAACCCTACAAGAATGTGAATGTTTAATACCCCCTGTGGGCCTTGATAGTAAAAGTAGGTTTTCCTCTTTCCTTCCTCCCGTACGAATGGTCTCGGCTCCCGCCCCCCGGACGGATCCTTGGACACTGACGGAGGTTTTGGTGGATGGGGGCGGCAGGCCTGTAATTCCCCCTCTCCTTAGTTGCTCCCCCCGCTTCAGGCTTCCAGGGCCATTTGGAAGTGCACTGAGTTCCTTCGATTTGTTCAAAGGGCCTGCTGGAAAAGCGGGTCCTGGACGCTTTTGTGCGAGCTCAACAAAGAGCTTTTATACTGGAGCAGAAACGGCCATGTTCCGCCGGGGCAGGACGGAGTGCGTGTGTGCGCGCCCGAGCGTGCGCCCCCGACGGAGGCGAGGCGGGGAGGCCGGGGGCGCAGTCTCTGCGCTCCCCTCGCCCGCCTGCCCCCGTGCAACCTGCCTTGGTCCCCGCATTGTTAGGTAATAACTTCGTATAGCATACATCATACGGAGTTATACGAATGGTGCTTTAACAGGACCATGCTTTTCTGTTGGAGGGTTACCAATGGCCAACTCCAGCAACAGACACATCCGCTATCCTGAAGGAAATAAGCAAACCTCAGCAGGCTGCTGGCTGAATAAGTAAGTAGCCTGAAACTGCAAGGAAACTGCCATTTAATGCTCAGTTGGTTAAGTTATAAATCTCTATGTTGATTTCAAATTTGGGCATCCAGATATGTTTTATTATTCCCAAGGTTTCTTCTTGGGGATAATAGTCAATCCTACAAATTAGTGTTTTCATGGTGCAAAACAGCTTAGGAGATACCACCTGTTACTGGCTCCACAATGACAGACCTGCTGTAGTGGCCCTGTAAATAATAACATTTAGCAGGAGAACAAACAGCAGGCAGACTTGTTTAACTAGATCTGCAGCCCTTTAAAACTGGATTCCTCTGCCCAGATGCACCAGAATAGCATCTCTTTCCCCAAGTCTCACTATAAAAGATTCACCATAATAAAATGACAATTTAGCATCAAATACTAAACTTTTTACTTTAGGAAAATAAGATTAGGCATCTTAGTAGATACTAATGACCATTACTTAAATGATAGTAGAAATAATACTGTTTTGGGATTCGGTGGCGACACTCCCTTCCCCCTCCTCTCGGGCGCGGCCCGGGCTGGGAACTGGCTGCGTCCCATTGGAACTGCGCAGGGGCCGCCTTTTTGCTTTCTCTGGTAACTTTACCCTGGTGTGGTGACCACCCCAAGGAGACTTTTTTGAGAGTGTCTCCGCCGGGGCAAGGCCTCGGGCCGCCGCTGCCAATGCTGGAGAAGTGGCTGGGGACAGACAAGTTGTGGGAACGTGAGCGAGCGGCGGGAAGGCCCTGCGGGCCTGTTCAGGGATGTAGGGGAGGACCATCCTCCAAGGAGAGCCGCTGGGAGGGCAGGCGGGTCTAAGAACGCGTGTTGTCGTACTTAAAACAAAACCTCCAAAAACACCAACGAAGGATTAACTGTCCTACTAGTGTTAGAAACACGGGAAGGGGTTAGAGGTAGCAATAGGGATGAGAAAGTAGTATGATTGCACGAGAATACCCCAAATTCTCTGTAGTTTTTGAGGAATCTCTAACCGAGTTTGAAAACTTCAATAGCCAGAAGCTGAGGTGGAGTTTTGGGGGTTGGTTTGTTTTGGGTTTGATCTTCATGTCAAAAATGGTTATAAATCTAGTTTAGTTAATCACACAATTAACATTTAGTTTGATTGCTTAGTCTTGGATACAACGTGACTCAAATTCAATATGAAACGGTTCGGTTTTTATTCCGACCGGTTATACTTGGCACCAATACGAACAACTTATTTACAATTGAAAATAAGTACTGAGCAGTAGCAATCGGGTTTCATTGATGCATTACCTAGTTTTTATGGGTGATAACTACCTGGGATTACGTATACTTACATTTAATGAAGGTAGCTTTTACCTAGTCGTGATTTCCAAGACTTCATTTTATGTCCTGGAAAAGTAATAATGAGGACACTGCAAAAACTGCACGGTTGGACCCTGGCTGCCTCTCTCTTCTTGGATTGTTGAGAAATGCTTCAATTCAATATATGACTTTTGGATCTCTTTTGCAAATTTTAGTCTGGTTTTCTTGATGTTAATATTCTAATGGAGGCCCAGTGGAGTGGGTCCAGGTTTCGTGGGCCTGAAGCTTAGGCAACTGTGTGTGTTGGATGGGCTGGGGACCTTAAGGAAAAGAGCAACTTTTGCAAATTTTAGTCTGGTTTTCTTGATGTTAATTTTCTAATGGAGGCCCAGTGGAGTGGGTCCAGGTTTCATGGGCCTGAAGCTTAGGCAACTGTGTGTGTTGGATGGGCTGGGGACCTTAAGGAAAAGAGCACCTACACATGTTGCTGAGCCTTCCTCACCTGAGCAAGCCAGGGGGCCTGAAGTTTAAGCTCCATCAGCTTCATGGCAAATTCACCCTAGGAGGCCTGCCTATATTTTGTGGAAATAACCTAAAAGAATACACACTGGATGTGTTTCCATAATCTAATTTAGATTTAGGTAATCTTTTGGATAGTGTAGGAAGATATTTCCAGTTAGCAAGTCTGGACTGAAGTAGCATCATCTTTTTTATGGTGTGGACTTTTCAGATTGAAATGTTCTGCTTTTTATGTCCTGCAGTGTAGATGCTATCGCTAATTAAAACAAAGTATTTTAAGGACATTTTGTCTTTGCACATATTTAAAAATTCCCTGCTCTCCCATCTTAAATTTTATGGAGATTGATAATCTTTGTCAACAAGCATGTGTACAAGCAAGGCAAGGATAGACTAAGAAACTTTTACTGCCAAAATGTATAAAATATATTTAGAGAATATACATATATTTGTGTGTATGTGATACTTAACTTGATAAAGGTATTTTTCATTAGGTAAATATATTTTCTGATTACTTACTCTGCAACACATTCAGATAGGCATTATAGGAGAATACAAAGCCATGTAAGACAGGCATATTCTCAAGTGGCTTACGTTGTAGTGGAAGGTAATACATGAATAGACATAATGTTAATTAAGACAATACCTGGTAAGTGTCTAAAAGTTACACACACACACAAAACAGTAGTTATAGAAAAGTTTAAAAAGATATAATATAGGTCATGATAACTGCCCACTTTTTTCATTTTTGCCTATGACAATCACTTTTAGTGATTTTGTGTGGTTTATCTTGAGTTCTGCCATTGTTTGGAAAATGCCCCAAATTATAGATATCTCATGTGGATAACCTTTCAAGCAATGCGATGACTATACATTTTAATTAAACCTTCTGCTCTTTAGTTTTGTAACTGCATATGTTTGTTTTCATTTGGCTGTATAAAATATCTTTTAAGATCACAAATATCAAGAATTCGTCATATCTTCCTTAAACCAATATAAATATCCATTCATTTTTTCAACTAATATGTCTTGAATGCCACTATGAGGGTACTTCAGAAAGGTCATGGAAAGATTTGTATCATCTTTTAATTCTATTTTTCCACGAACTTTTTGAAGTGTCCTTGTATACACCGGGCTTTGATCCCAGCATTGATATTCACTAGTGAATAGAACATAGTCCCTGCCCTCATGGTGCTTACACGCTGCGTATGTGTGTCTGTGTAAGTAACAGACAGTAAATCCACCAAGATATAAATACATAATAAATGAGGTGATAAGTGCTGTGAAGGAAGGCAAAGCAGGCTAAAGGGATGCAGAGTAATGGGAAGCTATTTTATACATGGTGGCCAGGGACAGCCTCTATGATGAGATGACTTTTGAGCAAAAACCTGAAGGAAGTGAGGAATTGAGCACTGAAGATACTTGGGTTAAAAGTGTTACAGGCTGATGGAAGAGCAAGTGCAAAGGCCCTGAAGTGAGTGTGCTTAGCATGTCCTAGGGCCAGAAAGGAGCCCAGGGTGAGGGAATCAGAGGAAAGAGATAATGGCACCATTAAGTCAATTAACATAATCAGTTCTCTACTTATTAACCCAGACACTTGCATACTTGAAAACAGACAAAATTAAACTTGCAAATGGTCCTGGTAGTCAAGAGATAGTAATATCCAGTGAATAAATTAAGAACCAACTAATACCATCAGTCCAATCTCCTTCACAGAGTATCACCAGTTTAATGCTTATTGTTCAGTGTTCTGTTCCCTCCAGTGGATTAAATCCTGCCTGCTCCTTAATTCAGAGATGAATAAATGCACACATACTGGAATACCCCTGGGAATTAGAGAGACAAAATACAGATGGTGTTTGCTCTGACACTCCCACCTCCCTAAAACTTTTAGTTTCACCTACCTCCCTTCAGTAACTGTCAACTCCTTAACATTAACTTCCAGCAAAATAAAGCTTGCCTTTCCTCTCTTTTCTTGCTTTCATTCAATTTCTGCAAACTGTATCCATCAGAAAACCTGAACTTGTCAACTGTGTCTGGAAGAGAAACACTGCAAAGAGTGTGCTTTGGTTAGTTTCCCATCTTCAGTGCAATAAACTGGCATATAGGCAAAGTTACCCACCTGAAAAAAAAAAAAAAAAGCTAGCCAACAACATAAAAATCTGCATTAATAATAAAAAGTTGAAGGTAATTACATAGGTGCTTATAATAGGAATCTCCATGGGAATCCTTTAAATCATTGCTTCCCAAACTCATCAGAATATAAAAATATCACCTAAGGCGCTTTGTAAGACTACAGATCCCCGAGCCCCAACCCAGAGGTGTCAGATCATATTCTCCCAG